TTGCCATTGTTTGGCCAACAATAACAATCGATGTCACCGACAGCAGCAGCAGCAGCTAAAGCAGTAAGTAGAAAACAGCCCAAAAGAGCCCCAAAAAAAACCGAAACTAAAAACGGGAACTCTTGAGTAAAGTCTCGCTTTTGTGTAGCATACTCTTGGGCGCCGGTGGAAATCGCTATGGTAACAGCATCCATCTTTCATCGTGAAAATGATGATGACGAAATGGTCTAGGGGTTGCATGTTTAAAGAAAAATGAAAGTGTTGTGTATATATAAAGTCTAGCAATAATATTTGATGTTCGACATGGCCATCAATCTGTCAGTTGCATTTTTATGACAGTTACTAGCAGAGTAAAAAAAGGGGTTTTGTAAGCAACGAAAACAGTTTTACACCTCATAAAGTATAGGTAAGACACATCTTTAAAATAAAATATATTTACTTAAAAGGCTTACTGAATTATTTTTGTTTTTCTATAATATTTGCATATCATTTGCTGTGAAGCTGAGAGCCGCTCTTGAAAACTTTTGAACCCCGGAGTGAATGACACTGACTCTGGACAATTTAGCATGGGTCACGCCCATGGAAACGTGCAGGACCTTCGGAAATTTGTGTGAGCTAAGCCCCCACAAGCATTCGAATTAACCCCTTTGAGGTCGCTGGGCATTGACATTGCATGGCGCAGCTAGGGGATCGCCATCATCATCCTTTCGGTTCGGCACGCGCTTTTGTGCGAAAATATGCAATTGAAATGTTAAATAAATAAAGGCGTAAATACTTGAAGGGTAAGCCAACAGAGCAACAAGAAGTGTGCACATTCAGGCGCTCTCGGATCCGCCAGATACACAAAAGTGCAAATACATAGGGGGAGGGCCCACTGTACACAGTTCGCAGCCCGAGCCCGAGCCCGTTATGCATTCCATAACTTTGCAGTCGTCGGCAGACGTTGACGTTGAAACGAATGAATGAAAATATGCAGGCAACGTGATTCCGCCACAGCTAACGGGACCCCCAACCCCCCTATTTGCCACACCCATATCCCATACCCACTTTTAACGCCCAACACCGCCCACTCTCTTTTTGAATCCTCGACCTCGACGGCGACGCCATATTGTTTGCGCGCCATTGGTAAACGTTACCGTTAGCCATCGCCATCAGCATCCGTTACCTTCTTCACAGTTACCTGATACACCGAAAGAATTGAGGAGAGGAAATATTTTGGTTGAACTGAGGGTTTAAGGGCATAAGGGGTTTCCCATTTTTACCCATAATTCAGAATATTAAGTCAGTATTTTGACTTACATGGAGTGTCATACCTCCTTCGATTCGTAATTAAATTTCTAGTCGAGTGGCATTCACACCTTAAAATGTCGATTTTTAGCCATTTTTCGCAAATTAGGATGATGGTACCCCTTATAAAAAATGCAAAATTTAGGAGCTCTCAGTCTTGTTTTGACCAACTTATAGCTATAAACCCGCACACAACATTGAACATTTATGTCATAAATGATGGTCCTGTTTTTTTCATCCACTAAATCAGAACTCGCACCAAAAAATCAGAACAATATTAATAAAAGTTTAGAAGCCTTTAGTGTCGGTAGTTAGCTGCATAAATCAGCCGTTGTTTTAGCCATGGGACTTTTTCTGACAAAGCTAAGAAACGGTACAAAAACACAACTCTATGTAATCAAAAGGTGTGTTCTTGATTTGGCGACCTAATATCAGTATTTTGCTTATAACTAAGCCAATAATGGTCCAAATGTGGAATGTAATACCTCGTAGGACTCGTAATTTGATTGCCATGATTCCCAATCAAGTTGCATTCAAATCTGGGAAAATTAAATTTTTTCAATTTTTCACAAATTTTGATGATGGTACCCCTTATCAAAAATGCAAAAATGGCCAAAAAATTAAATTTCCGAAATCGGTCGGACAAGAACATTTCTTGCAATTTCGGGTCGTAAGCTGCACGAAACAGTCATTCTTATGGCTGTGAGTCCTTTTTTGATCGAGCTAGAGCTAATAAACCGCAAATAATATTGCAAATTTCTGTCAAGAATAGGTTTTTTGACTTTTTAGCCATTAAATCAGCACTTGCCCCAACAAAATCAGAACAATACAGTTACAAGTAGGTATAGGGGTTACAAGTTTTGGTTGTTAGCTGCATAAAACACTCATTGTTTTAGACGTGCATCTTTTTCGACAAAGTTAGAGCTAAGAAACGGCAACTAAACCGAAATCTCTGCTGTCAAAAGACGTATACTTGATTTTGGGCGCAATAAAATTCGTTTTTTTGCCATAGCAAAGCTAAAAATGGTCCAAATGTGGAATGTAATACCTCGTCGGGCTCGTAATTTGATTGCCATGATTCTCAATCAAGTTGCACTCAAATCTGGGAAATTTCAATTTTTGCCATTTTTCACAAATTTTGATGATGGTACCCCTTATCAGAAATGCGAAAATGGCCAAAAAATTAAGTTTCCGAAATCGGTCGGACAAGGACATAACTTGTAAGTTCGGGTCGTTAGCTGCACAAAACATTGATTCTTTTAACTATACGTCTTGTTTTGACCAATTTATGAGATAAAAACCGAGACAAAATATGAAAAATCAATCGTTAAGCAGCTTTTTCGAAAAATGAGTCAGTATTATGTCCATAACTTGGTCAACAGAGGTCGAAATAATACGTTACATCACATTACAGTACATTAAGAATCCTTTATTTCTCTCAGTGTATCTGTTACCTGCTCGGGAAAAACGGTAACGGCAAAAGCAAAAGCAACAGCACAGCAAAAGCGATGGCAACAGCAACATTCGTTTGCTGGTATTTTCTGTCGAGTTCAGCGTAAATTCATTCATTTCCACTTGAATTTACAATTATGCGAAACTGTTGTTGAATGGGTTTTGACTTGGCTGATGCCGAGCTGGGATTGGATTGCAGTGGAGTGGATTGGAGCTGAGCAGAGTGTTGGGTTTTTTGGGGGATTTCTGCATTTCCTTTAGTCTATCACGGTTTATGCATATTTCCTGCTTTTTGCCATTGGCAGCGGCATCAGGAAACTTGGCTTGGCTGTTTAGCTTTTAATAAACTGCGGTCGGAAGGTGAAGTCGATGCGAAATCAGAATGTGAAGCACTGCCCTGGAAATTGTCAACAGCAGCGGCAAGGATGGTAGGGAAATAATGTTCCCATGGCAACATCTAACCCAAGGTTTGAGCTCACTGAAATCATGTTGGAATGTAATTAAGCTGATGACTTTGGGTGTGAAACTGACGGATTAATAATAAGAGCGATGCACGGAGAATATATTTTATGATCAAATCTGAATTAAAAAAGTCTCTTATATTAACAACTGAAGTTATAAAATATTTAAAAATAATATTTTGTTAAGTTTGTAAAATATTCATAAAAGCATAACGATTTCGTCCAGTTTTTTCTTCCAGTACACTAATTTGAAACCTTTCAAAGCCAAGTTCGAAGTCAATTATAAATATTTTATATGACGAAAGAAATCTGCGCTTATTTTCCAGATCTCTTCTTATCCAGATAAGTTTTCTACTGGTTTCAAGAGCTCTTATCCCTCTCGCAAAGTAACTTTTTTGCAACAACTTTTCCAGGCAGGACCAGGATCTGACCGAGGCCGAGGCCAAAACCATTCCAGGATGAAAAACTTTAGCCACCCTGCACTTTCAGCTGGCAACCAGTGCAATTCAATGTCATATCCTTGAAAAAAAAGGGTGCATGAAAAGCGAAGGAAGCCCGATGGCCATAAAAAATCGACAGGCTAAAGTTCTGTTATTGAAAGTTCATCGATGAATGTGAAAGGAAAACATCCTTTTTGCCCTGCAGCTGACTCGTCTGCAATTCCCCAATGTCCTGGCTTGTTGGCTCCTGGCGACTTGCGGCGACTTACAGCCCATTTCCTTCTGCTATTTTCAACATTTTCAGCTGCCTTTGTGTCCGGGTCTACTAATTTCCTCGGCCATTCCCGACAGTCCACCCGTCCAGCAGTCCAGCAGACGGCATATCCTGAAGCCTGCTGCTTAGCCAACATTTGTATGTGGCCGATGCGTTGCCCGGTTGTTTGCATTTTTATTTGTATTTCATTTTCAATTGACTGGCAGCAGGCGGTAGATCCTGGCCTTTTTCCCTACCTGGAGGAAGCTCGCCCAAGCTCTTTGTGCATTTCAGCCATTCATCAGAGTTATTTACTTTTTAACGAGTTGATTTCATTCAATTTGTTTGCCCAGGTTTCAGTGGCTATTACCGGAGCTGTCCACGACTGGCCCTTGCCCCTTGCCACATAACTTTTCTTTAAGCTGCAACTGAACTCCGTTAAAGTCACTCAACCAGGCAGGTGTCGGCTCTTTCTTTTTAGCTACCAATCCTGTCGATTTTCCCGATACCATATTGAACTCCTCTCGCACAGCGCAATTTTCGGGCTCTTGTTTTTCTTTATCGTCCCTTTTTCCCAGCGAGTGCGAGTCCGGGAGCTCCGTCAACTTTTCGATGCCTTCGGCAATGTTAGGTTTCAATAAATATTTTCACAATGAAGAAATTAAAAATTCCTCGAAACACAATATGGTGGTAGCCAGGCCCCAAAAATCGCTGAGAATCCACCCGGCAGCGTCTATTTATATATGAAAACTTAGTTTGTCTTCGATAATAACAACAACAACGACGCACCAGATGGGCTTGTGCGGGGTTCGATGAGGAATAGCAAAGAGTGTCCCGACCCTGACAATTCGATTGAAATTGTTGCCGGTGGCTATGATTTTATGAGTGGCTCTGTTTGCCTTGGCAAGAGCCAAGGCGGTTCGAAATAATTAAATTGCTGGCATTTCACAGATGCTTCGGGAATACTTTATAAATTAGCCACCGAAAAAGGCTAACAGGGTCAAAATGAAAGATGAACAGGCCTAAGAACTTTTGAAATAAATAAATTTAGGAAGCGGAAATGTGAAAGTTAATTTTAGAACGAGTTCATCTGAATATCTGAGAGAATGCTTTTGTATCTACTGCTTGATTTTATTGCTCTTGAAAGTGAGTGAAATGCTCGGCTTTTATAACTTCAATATATGCATTACTAGACTCCCTGGAAGCAGCCTAGCATCTTGAATGCCGTATCGCAGGCATTGTCTCCCTTGACACCGCTGCACTTGGCCAAATCCTTTTCAATGGTCTCCTTCATGCTCGAGTTGGCATAGTTGGCCTTGATCTTGTCGGTCAGCAGTTTGCCCGTAGAATCCATAAGGCCGGCCTTGACCAGGATGCACTGAGTGGAGCACTTGACATTGTCCTTGGCATCCTCATGTTTCACCTTTCCCGACTGCAAGTCCTCCAAATCCTGTTTACTGACTCCATTCTCCTTCAAGCAACCTTCTACCATAGTCTTGGACATCGCGGGATCCAAAGTGTGTTGCTGAAAAGGACGAGTTTTAGGTTAGGTTTTTTAAAATACAAAGACGACTTTTGAGCCAACCGATAGAATCCCTGTAAGGCAGCTGAGCAGCAGAGCCAATGCCAAAATAGACCTCATTTTGCTTGAGTTTTTCGCTTACTAAAAGTTCGCTAAAATTACACTGACTTTTAAAGCTTAGCCTGGACGGGCGGCTCACCCTTTGCGTGACACTTTGAATTTGTCAATTCTTTTTGTCTCCCGCATATTGATTATCACTAAAAAACAGAGAAGAATTGGTCACGCTGACTGACTAACTCCGAAAGTTATTGCCACTGCCAAGGTCGAAAACCTGTGGGTCGGGCTAATTACTGATTTGCAGGTCGTTAAATAACTTTAATGCTTAGAGGAGAGTCTGTTCTTTTTGGGAAGTGTAACTTGGAATATTAAGCAATTCCTAGAATTTCATAAAATTTCTTTAATTTTTATAGGGGTATATAATTTTAGGGGTTTAGGAAATAATTATTAAACATTTTGTTACTCAATTAAAAATATTTTCTAAATAATAAATTGGTTTTCTTTTCAGAAAGTGACAAATATAGCCTGTAAAGAATTCTAGAATTATAAATATTAAAAACGTAACTATTCATCATTAAATTTCCAATATTTTCATTTGGCTTTAAGAACTGCGAGGCCCCAATGAAAATTTGTTTAATTATTAATGAAAACCCAGGGCAGCCTAGTGTCCATCTAACCCAATCTCGTTAATTTGTTTTATAATTACTGCTGATATCTGCTTAATTATGCATAATTTGTTGTTCATTTTCGGGTGAATATTATCGGAATGCATTTATTTAGAATGCGCCAAGGCTATTATCGAATGGGCCAACTAAATAATTTGCCACTTAGTCCATTGAAATGTGTGATGGAAATACCTTGATTAATTTTCCCGCTCATTCTAGTGCATGTATATTCTAATGGAAAAGAAAGGGAAACTATCCCAATGGCTGTTACATAATTCGGATATTTTGTAATTGCATTTCTACGGCATTATGGTAATTGGCTTTTTTGCCCTGCCTCGGCGGCTAATGTTTTTATAATTCCTATTAGCAGTGCGATTATTATTATTATTATTATATATTTCATATTATTTTTGTGTGGTGCGCACATTTTCATTCAGTTTAATGCGATTTCAAACGCTAATTGAAATCCTTTTAGAGTAATTGCAAAAATAATTCAATAGAGTGGGAGAGCGAGAGCGAGAGTGCAAGGCGAAAGGCTTGCAATCTCGTAGTGGTAATTAGAAGAACAAACTAATTTAGTAAATTACTATTTAGTGGCCCCTTTTCGCCTGGGCCAGTTGGCCGCAGCTTCTGCGGCACACAAAGGTCATTTTTGGGCTTTGAAGTTTGCGGGCTTTGAAATGCGCCAAAGGACATTCGAACAAATGGCATCCTTTGAGCATTTGTGTGGGTGTTTTCTACGGTTGTGTACGTGTCTGTGTGTGTATATCCGTGTGTACACATTGCAATTGCTGTCGAAACATCAAAGCTATGCGAGTTTTCCAGTTGACTTCATCAGTAGATTGTGTGAAGTATGCCAAAAATGTGTTGGAAATGCTCGAACCGTTTTTCCATTTTCCTCCGCCCGAGCGAGTAGTTGGCCAAACCCGTCTTAAAGTTGCCCTTTAAGCGTTGAACGGAATGTCGGCCAAGTTCTACGTTGGTTCTACACGGACACGTGCTTGCCAAAACCGGAAGGAACACGCGCCCAAAGTCCGGACTTCGAATTGCTAACGCGATTGCCGCCCTGTGGAAATCCATTGCGCTTGGTAAAACAATATTGGCCCAGCTTTTAAAATACATTTTACATCTACTTGAGTGTAATTGACGCGTGGCCCTTGTGATATCGCCAAGAAGTGGAAATTTGAGATCGAAAGCCCATTGGAAAGTGGCCGTTGGGCGGGGCGGCGATTCAATTAGTTTAACGCCCCGAGGGCATTATTGCTCGTATTACATAAAAAAGCTTAAAAAGGTTATTATATTCTTTTTTTTTAAGTAAGAAGAATATTTAACATAGAACAACAAGAAACTAAAAATAAGAAGATTTTTCTGAATAACTTTTAAATTTAGAATAACTTAGAACACAAATTGGATTTACTTTACTTTTACTTTCGATACATTTCTTAAGGCTAACTTTTCTTACATGATTTTACAGATTTTTTATAATATGAGATAGTCTCAAACAATGCCTTAACATCTTAAGTAAGGCATTACTTTGGTTCTTACCTTCTCATTGATATAGAATATATATAATATAAATATAGTCATCTTAACCCCCTCGAATGTATCAGAATTTATGAACATTTATCACTGAAATAAATAAATTTAACAATTAAAACATCACTGATATATGCACATCCCACCTTTATTTCTATTTCAACATTCCCTTCTTGGAAATTGAATTTCCCCTGGAGGCACGAAGTTCGTTTCAGGTGCCTACGCAAAAGTGCGCAATCGAAATTACATAACTCACCTGGGGAGGACCTGTCCTGCCCCTGCAGCCTACGATAAAGCCACAAATTCTGGCACAGGATAAATATAAAATGCAGCCAGGCATAAGAAGCCATCACAGTACAGACCATTGACAGTCAGAGTGGCAAAAGAGAGTTGCTAGTAGGTGGGTGGAGAGGGAGGTTGTCCTGCTGTTTAAAATAGCAAACTAGACCAGGCCCGTAATATGTCCTCCGGCTTAGCGCTCATGTGTTGCTGTTGCCCGGCTATTCGGCTATTGTCTGACTACGGCTTTACAACTCATAAACAGCAGACATACCGCCACCCACCAACTCCCCCTCCCAGCTCCCCTTGGTAATAACAGTTTAAGCTCGGGGGCTCTGCCCGAAAATTGTCCACATCTCGTTGTTTAATTTTTTTGTTTTTTTCTCAAAATCTCCGCCCACATTTTCCTTGTTGATAACAAGCATTTTTACATGTGCTAAAAAAACAGAAAACGGCCAAAAGTCGGTGGCCAGATGAAGATGGAGCTGGCCCCGGGCCCATCCCCAATGGGCTCTTCCAATTTTTGGCCTGGCTGCATGTGCGTTTATGACTTCATAATGGGCAAAGATGGCAGGGGGATGTGGCTTCGGGGAGGCATCAAAAGCAGGCAGCTTCATCTCATCCCCGCCTACGGTATGGATGCAGTGCAGTTTCGAGGGTGGTTGATCCTGCTGCTGCTCCAGCTATGGATTTGCGTAGGCGTGGCGTTAACATGCGACTAAGTCCTTTTATATCCCGGAGCATTCGCTTAGGCTTACGGCTCAGGCTCAGTTTTCATATATAGCCTCAGCTCCAGCAGCCTCAGTCAGGGCTACATATCTGGCTGGGGTCTTAGACTATCATCAATTGCTGTCCCCATGGTGTAGTTAGGACCATGGCCCAAACCCCGGCTTTGGATTATGTAGGCCAGCAGCAGAATTTAATGCCGACCTTTGGGAGCTATTGTGGCCAGGCCGGGGCCAATCCTCCATCCAGCAACAGGAGCCTTCCATCCCAGCCATCCCGGCCATGCAAGTTTTATGCTCATGTGTGTGCCCCGTCGTCCTGTGTTTTATAAACAATTTTAAATTGCCGGCCCACCGAAAATGAGGCAACAGCATGGCTCTCTTTTGTAGGCAAATTGTTTTATATGTGCGTTGGCTGGCTGTTCTGCACTTTATTGGCCAAATTCTAGGGGAGTTTCGGAGTTGCGGCGGGAGAAGTCCGCATAACTTTGCATAATCCCAGCGAAACTGAAACTATGTGGCAACATAATGCGCCACATTAACTTGCAGCCCTCAGGAGCACTCACACTTTGTATATTGGGTATAAATCTCAGTCCGAGCTGAATAAAAACCCAAGATGATGCGCAAAAAATTAGAAATAAGCGCAAAATGATAAACCATCCAGCCCGCCAAAGTCTCAAAAATAATATAAATAGCAAAGAAAGAAAAAAACATAATAACAAACAAAGAGACAAACAAACAGTCGTCGTAGACGTGGATACGGCAATGCGCCATATGGAACACATGCTGCACCACTCAACCACTCAGCCACCGAGTCACCCAGGCCACCACCCAGTGTCACCTATCCCTGCCCCAAATCCCTGCTCCACCTTTGGAGCCACTCGGCAGACCGCATGATTTCATCTTTCGCTTTCGTGCAGACAACTTACGCGAGGCATCCACGGACCGGGGAATGTTGTGATACCCTTTAATAAAGGGAAAGTGAAGGGGAATAGTTGGTTGAGTTGAGACTTAACAGTCCTAAAAAGATATTATATAATGAAAAAATGAAAAGTTTAAAGATTTTAAAAGGTTATAAAAGATTTTAGGAAAGCTTAGTCAAAGTGCTTTCGCGCTATGAAAATCGTAACTTGCCTTGTTACAGAAACTTTGCTATTCTTTTGCCATTTTTTTAATATTTTTTTTGAAATTTATTATTATATTTTTAGTCTTACAGTATCCCCTCTTCGTTGCCAAACCCCTTAGGAATACGAAATTCATTTTTTCATTAAATTCGCCTAAGCAAAATGCTAGCCCTGCCATAAGAGAGAGTATGGGAGAGATGATTTATGGAGCAGACTTCATAAAGTTCATAAATGTCGCGGCAAGCAGGCGGTTGGCAAAAAGAGGTGTGTGACTGTGTGTGTGCGTGAGTGTTTAAGTGTGTGTGTGTGTGTGTGTGTGAGGCAGACACTACAACAACAAAGGCAACATTAGTAACCACATTCATGCATTTGACACTTTCACCTCGGTTGGAGAAGGGAGAAGGGAAAGGGAAAAGGAAAAGGGAGGAGGATGGGCACATTTTTGCGCATTTAATTAACTAAAATGCTATAAATATGATTTTAAATTAATTCACTTGCGTGAGTTATTAAATTACAAACTGCACGGGCTGTTCGCATTCGGAGTGGCTAATGAAAATTGAAGAGGCTATGGGTGGCCGACCTAGATGATGGCTGGCAGAGTGCCATCTTGTGTTCCAGTTTTCTACGTTTTTTCGGCCAACTTTATTTATGTTTATTCTCTGAAGTCCAATGGTCTGTAATAATTTATTTCCAAATTATTCCGTTGATCTCTCTATTTTCCTTGGCTGCAATTTGTTCTCTGTCGCCCGGTGTTTTCCCAAATTCAATCTCCATCTTTCAGTGTTATGGCAGGAGACCCAAAAACAGAATG